ATATATATATATTTTATATATATATATATCAGGGTAAAATAATAGGATTATCAGTGCAGAAAGACGTAGTACACAGGAGAACTGCATCCTAATGAGGGTACATTAAAGGGACTTCTATGGTGACAATGTCTATAGTTCATTTGGCAAAATATTCTATGAGGATTGAAAAATTAGTAACTACAGCAACTATCTTAAAAATACGTACAAAAATATATTTTAAGCTAATATTTAAAATTTTGAAAACTCCAAATTGAAAAATCAGAAAACAGGAAGGAAAAACATAAGGAACAAAAGTTAATGAGAAAGTGACATCTACAGCCATATCAAAAAATTACATTAAATGTAAATGGTCTACATAAGACCAAAAATGGATAAAATACAATTATTTTAATCACTTACAATGGTACATACTGGTTAAAAGAAAGGGAAAAACAGGCAAACCCTGAAACAAAAGTGGAATGGCTATATTGCTATCCAACAGTGAAGACCACACAACAAGGAAATCACCTCTGCTCTATTACTGAATTTCAAGACAGGGTTAATAATCTCAGAGTTATTTTCCCAAAGTCACACAGCTAGGAACTCACTGAATTGGAATTTAACAAAAAATTTCCTAGCAGTTATGAATGTCAAAAAAACAAAATAAGCTGTGTTAAAGTTACTTATTGTCTTACTTTTCTCTCATTGCTGAGACAAAAATACCAAACATGAAGTTAAAGGGGGAGAGATTTATTTAGCTTACAGTTTGTAGAGGTTCCAATCCATACTCAGTTGGCTCCAAGACAAGGTAGCATGGCAGGCAGACATTGCAGAGGAGAAACAGTTCACGGTGGGCAGACAGTAGCTTTCTGTCCCTTAAGTCTTATCCAGGCTACTTAGGGGGGGTAGCACTCACACCGTGTTCTAGTGCCCTTGATCCTAGCATTCATTGCACATGAATCAATTCCAGAGCCACACACTGTAGATCCAGCCACCAGTCACCTCTGAAAAAGCTCCAGCTTCGACCACTGAGGCTTTGGACACAAGCCATAATACACAGATGTTTCAATGTCTGGTTATAATCAGTAATAAAGAGGTGTTAGATTGACTAAAACCATGGACCTCTTACAAGGAGATGAAATCTCTGTTCTAGGATACAATGGCTATTTGTTTATAAAGTTACATATAACAAACTAGAAACTAAATCTGCTCATAATCTAGGTGATGTTTGTAAGACTGATTTTTGAACCCTACAAATCTATTTCTATGATTTACACAACAGTGCAAGCAAACAGCTAAATGGATAAGTGGCAACAATAATGGGTAGACTTACATTAAAGTTTTAGAAAATTTTAAGCAGTTGAAGGGAACAAAGATAATTAAAATATCAGATCCCTTAACTTTTATCCCAATTGCTGTTAAACATTCACTGAATTGCCTTAGTTTTTTTTTTTAATCAGAATTTGGGATATTTGTAATTGGTGGTATCCCTGGATTTAGCCTTAAATTAAGTGTAAGAGTGAGTATATTGCAAAGACAAAATTGTGTTTTGGTAGGAGGATATCTTCTGAACTACAGAATAGACCTGAGACAGTTCAAAGCAAGTAGAATCTGAGTATCAATGTAAGTGTATTTAAAGAGTAGAGATAACCAGTCAATAGAGACTCATATAATTCAGAAAATTGGCAATTGGAGTAGCGGAAAACTGGCAACAAAAGACAGATGATTGCTAGATTTTTTTTTAAGTGCTGAAGGGAAAGTAATTCAAAGTCAGCTATGGTCTGTTTCAAAAGTGAATTATGTATGGTGAACCAAAGGTCACATTTCCACACATGAATTCTTACTCTACTCCTTTAATTGATGGAGAGAATATCCAGGGAATATGAATGCAGGACTGACGATAGGTGTAACAAGTCTGGGAAGACTTTAAAAAAGGTTAAAGTCTGAAGGGATGGGCGAGAACAGCTCCGTAAGGCGCAAACTCGGCTCTGTCCACTGAGCCTCCTGTGACCTTGCCTTTTTTGGAATTCTATGCAACAGAATCACATAATAAAGGTCATTCTGTGGCCGGCTTCTTTCGTATATCCCAAGCCCCTCTGTTTGGCGTGTGTCTGTGCTGTCTCGCCTTTTTTCCTGGCCCGGCTCGGAAAGTAAATTGCAGGCTGGGGCGTTTCTGAGTGGCCCCTGGTACAGGGAGTGAAGTTAGCTCAGCATCATTGGCTGCAGCACTTCTCTATGTGGGGTAATAATGATCCCATATCTTCTTAGGATGTCACTAAAGTTAAAAAGAAACTACACCCCATAGCGCTGTTGCCGATCTTCCCAACACTGCGCTCCATAATGCCTTCGTGCCTTCTCCGCTCCCAAAAGCCGCTCAACGAGTCTGGCAGGGAGGCCAGTGCGCGTGCGCCGCGTTTCCCCGCACCTTCCGGTCCGGCTTCACCTTGGTGCACTGAACGCCGGTTCCGGA